ATATATATATATATATTCACCCACAACACGCATTAAAACAAACAAAAAGAAGAGATCCCAAAAAGAAAGAAAAGGGGAAACAAAGATTATCCATTTGTTTTTTTTATAGCTCAATTGTACGCTAAAGATTAGTCTGTGGTCTTACACTGGATATGTACACGTGGTTAACCCATAACCAAAATAAATACAGGATACTCGTATACATGTTTTTAAGATAATGATAAATAATATGAAACCTTCTCTGTAAAAGGCAGTAAGCGAGCGTATGTGGAAGCGAGCAGGGTATGGACTGGAATCTTTAAAGGTCTGTGTTGACGGATACCTCACTGCAATCTGATGAGAGCTCTGGGAAAGGTTCGCTACGTTCCACTCCGTTTCCCAGAGTTTGGGCCCTTTTAGAAGCAGTGGATATCATAGATGGGTGAGCAGTCTGTTAAAAACAACATACAGACATATTGCACACCTCTAGGAGAGAAAAGCAGTCTTTAATCTGGACACTTAAAATCATCTGAGGAGTGAACTGGAGCACCACTGCCAGGACTAAACTGTGCAGAATGGTATAACGCAAGGCAGTGTGGTGAAAGGGAGCCTCTTAGCGTTTATTTTTCATGCCCTTTTTTGTGCTGGTATGCAAGAATACAACAGACCTGAGTCCAGTGTGTAGCCTTGATACCCTGATAGCACTTTGTGCATTTGGCTGCAGCAACAGTCAGTCTTCTGCACACGACGCGCACTCAACTCAAGTTGAGTCTCCTCATCCCTTTCTTGAAATCTTAAAGGATCACCTAAAAGCTTCTCAATAAATACATCACTCACCTGTCGTATGAACTGTGTAACAACAATCTTTCCATAAAATATCTCAAAATAACGTCCTCTCGAAGAAACCCATGACCTTTGTCTATTGTGCCATTCATGAAGCCATTATGGTTTTTGGCAGCTGTTTTAAAAACCATCTCAAGGTCCTCATATTAAAAATATAAGGCTCAAGGTGCCATACTGATAGCGGGTTTTAAAAAGTTAACATGGAGGTAGTGGAGCAGGGCTCAGTGGGCACAATCAAGCTCTCCATGAAAAGATCCAGCCACATTTGTTTTTTTAGCATAATTTTTTTTTTTTTTTTTTTGTTAAATCAACTGGTTTTTTTTGGACCAGGCACTGGCGATATTCAGGCACACAGAGCTCCCGCTCTCTCGACTGTCTTTGTAATACTCTAAATGTATGCTTTCAATAAAACCCCCAGTTTCCTGAACAACAACCCCCTCCCCATCCGTCTGAAGCTGTGGAATGAACTACGTGTGGTGGACCTCGTGGAACATCAGTTCGCGTGGGATCTGTGTCTCCGGGCCGTATAGCTTGGACGCTCGCCGCTCAAAGGCCGACACCATCTGCTTCACGACCTCGTCGAAGAAAACGGTGGCCAACTGAGAATGCAGGAGCGAGCGGAACTCAAAGGATATCTAGGGACAGACAGAAGCAGGGAATCAACATTTGGTAGAAATTTCACAAACTGATTTACGAAAACTGAGTTTTACTTTGACATTTAAAAAGCTAGTGTTCCATACGTAAAGCCTTTTCAAGACAGACCTAACATAAGCTCTAAGGATGTTAAATGATGGTACAAGCTTGTGTGAAAGTCAATGTGATGACTTATTAATAATATAATTCCAAAAAATGTTTAAGTCAAACTCTAGAAGCAATGGAATTGATTGGTGGATCTTGTTTCAGCATTGCAGCACAGTTGATATTACCATTAAATCTTCCAAGCAGTGTGTTTTTGTAGTACAGCATAATCAAGATAAAACTCTAACTGATTCTTTTAACAGTATTAGTAATTCTTCATGGGATGAGTAGATCTTTTATATCCTCATAATAAAAGCCCACTACACAGCCTTTTTAAAAATGTTCAAAAATGTTCTGCTTTGAATCAAATGTGGTAAATCATAAATGTTATGGCTCATCTCAAAGGACTTTATAAGACTTTTCAGAAATACAAGAGAAAGTGAATGGAACTCAAACCTCACTGGTTCTTAAGCTCAAATCTGCTTGCATGATATATGAGAAAAGCTTCTGTGTATCATATTTAATGGAGGGACAGAAATCTAAGGTTTCATTAAAAATATCATTTGTATTTGAAAAATGAAAAAAAAAAGTCTTAGCTTGGGTGAGCAAACGATGACAAAACTTTAATTTTTGGGTGAACTACCTCTTTAAATATAAGCAACAGTATTAGTCTTGGCAAGCACCCTTAAATATACTTAATATTAATATTTAATATTAAAGTTTAAATATACAATCGCATTCCAGCTTCACCCGAGGATGATAAACCAGACTGTGCTTGTAATACTTACAGCAAAGTCTAGGGTGCATGTACGGGGGTAGCCAGGAAGACCAGGGCTGAAGCGCCACACCGTCTCCAAGTGATTGAAAAGTTTTCCATCAGAGCAAGATGCCTGAAGATGCAAAAAAGCAATGGAGTTAAAAACGACTTTCAGCTCATACACTTGATTGACAACACAAGTATTATGAAGTATTGGTTTGCCATCAATCTATAAAATAGATCCACTTAAGAAAATAAAGTGATATACATACCTTGACTAAATGCGGGCGAACGGTAGTAACGAGTGAGGTGTAGTTTTCTACCACAGGAGGGAAGCCCACAGCCAGCTTGGACTTGCAAAATCCAGAGCGGCGGAATATAACGTCGGAGCGTTTGCACCAGGGCACGAACAGCAGGTAGTCTTCTACTTTGGCCACAACCTCATACATTTCTTGCATCGAGTACCTGAATAATACAATGGTGTACTGTGTGCAAATGACGTTAACAACAAATTGTTTAATTTTTGTTTTGGGAGTAGAATTCTTAGGGGGATAGGATTTTTCTATGCAAGTAAGTAATCATTTAGCAGACACTTTAACTCAAAGTGACTTACAGTATACTGTATACATAGGTGTAATCCAGGGTTAAGTGTTCAAGGGCACAATAGTAATAGCTCAAACTTTCTGATTACTAGTCCTAAACTTTAGTCATTATGCCACAACACAGACTGCAGTTATAGTCAGAAGAGTGCAATGAGTGCAGAGTGCAATATTAATCTAACTTTGGAGTCGTGGCAGCTCATAACCTCACTGGATGCCTTAAATATATCTCATCACTGTACAGGTGTGACCCAAAAAAACTAGTTTTCTACCACAGGAGGGAAGCCCACAGCCAGCTTGGACTTGCAAAATCCAGAGCGGCGGAATATAACGTCGGAGCGTTTGCACCAGGGCACGAACAGCAGGTAGTCTTCTACTTTGGCCACAACCTCATACATTTCTTGCATCGAGTACCTGAATAATACAATGGTGTACTGTGTGCAAATGACGTTAACAACAAATTGTTTAATTTTTGTTTTGGGAGTAGAATTCTTAGGGGGATAGGATTTTTCTATGCAAGTAAGTAATCATTTAGCAGACACTTTAACTCAAAGTGACTTACAGTATACTGTATACATAGGTGTAATCCAGGGTTAAGTGTTCAAGGGCACAATAGTAATAGCTCAAACTTTCTGATTACTAGTCCTAAGCTTTAGTCATTATGCCACAACACAGACTGCAGTTATAGTCAGAAGAGTGCAATGAGTGCAGAGTGCAATATTAATCTAACTTTGGAGTCGTGGCAGCTCATAACCTCACTGGATGCCTTAAATATATCTCATCACTGTACAGGTGTGACCCAAAAAAACAAAAGGTTGTTGCTAAAGTTGAGAATGGATTTAGTCTGCTTTAAGTTTCAAGGTCTCATATTGGAGCATTTGAAGACCTTCACGTTAAAGATAACAGATAAGATACAATAATCATAGAAATGAAGAAAAGAGAAATCATAGAAAAGTCCCTCAGTGTCTGCTTGTTAGCCACAATCCATCAAATATGATCTTTTCAAAAATGTTCTGACTATATAGGTGCTCAGTTTAGTTCCTGGATATGCATACAGTCATTCAGTGCTTTTATGCAAAGCTACTGAGTACTGATGGTACATTTATTATAAAGACTTTCCCCTGAAGTAATGTAGGATTTAGTGTGGATATTTAGGACATTGTCTCTCTGGAGATCCACCTTCCTGATCCATTTCCAACCTAGTCTCAGTCTAGACAACATGACCACCGACCACCATACTAACTGACCACCTCATGTGTACCACACACAAACATCGCAATCGTAGCCTAAAAACCATTTGGATTAACTGGCTTCTACATAATTCTTGGCAGCCTGAGCTCAACATTCACCTGAAAATGAAGCCATGTTTACAAGGATGCTACAACAAGGCTTTTGAGGAATCGCTGGATTTAGCAAAATCTCTAAATAATACCAAGAGTTTTGCTTGAAACACTAAATGTTAAGGACACAAAGGGAAATTAAGACAAGCCCTTGAAGACCTTTCCTGCATCAGAATATGCGCACTTTCCTCTGACACAGTATGCAAGAAAACCTGGATAACTGCATGTTCTCAGATTTTAAAGTGTGAAGTGGACATTTTACTATTACATATGGTCAAAGAAACTATTAAATTAAATAAATAAATGAACCATCAAACTTTTAAATACATTTAAAAAAATAAACTAATTAATTAAAAGTGTGAGCTAGGTGTAAGTTAAGGCGTTTCAAGTGTAAGTAGCCTAGTTGTTTAACAACAACCAAGTGAGTTGTTTTGGTTGTTGTTAGTATGTCATAGGTCAAATGAGTTTGTCCCAGAATGCATTTATGCTGTACACCTGCATAACTATAGACAGGGGTGCACAAGTAAGAGAACCTGGAGATTTGGTTTGGTCCTCACACTGCACATAGTGTAACCCATTACATACAACTATAAACATTTTTATTAATCATAGTGATAATATTGTTGCACTTTATTTTATTTTATTTTTTTAAGTAAAATAATAAAGTGTCATAATACTATTATATTTTGAAATAAAAAGGGAGCATTAAATACAAATACAACTATTTTATGGTAAACTTAAAAATAAAATGAATTTATCATTTTCAAACTTAAAATCAGCAGGCTTTTATTTTGGCGGGTTGCCGGCAAGTAAGTACATGCACTTCCGGGTTTAGCGCCGCCGACTGAAGCGCATCAGTGAATGAAATGTCACAGTTTTGCATTGTGCTTTGAAAACGGCAGCGGGTAGCCTATATTTATTTATCTATTCAGTTTGAATAGAAATCTTATACAGTATTACAGTTTGTCGATCTAAAATGGTAATTGTGCATTAACAGCTGTCAACCATGTCGGTACGCAAATGCGCTGTCAGAACTTATTTACACGGCGCATTTTTTTATTTTGGTTGCGCATGCGCACCACTTATTTGCACCCCTGACTATAGAACATACTTCATAGACCGTAGACAAGTTAATCAAATTCAGTTCGTGTACACGCGCTGTATTACTGCCGGAAATAAATTCTGCAGGACAGCTGATCTGGACTGAGCCCTCTGCTCTAAAATTTCAGGCTTCAAAAGTCCAAGTAACTTGTGATGACGTGTGTAACCGGTACAGATCCATACTCCAATAACACCAGATACCTAGAAAGCTGACACCAAATATTATCCCCATGCCCTGTTACATAAACAACATTTGCAGGGACACTGGGGCTAAAATTAGGGGTGCTCCGATCAGGATTTTTGAGGCCGATCACAGAAAGCAGTATCTGCCGATACCGATCTTTTGAAAGTCTTCTTTTTATCATTTATAACTATATATAATGATACTCCAATCAGGATTTTTAGACATTTATTCAGGGCCTGAATTTCATTTTTGAAAATGGGGGGGATTTCCCCTCTTAGGTGACTCTTGTGAGAGGAGAAGCAGCTTTCACACAGGAGTCCGCTACTGATCCGTTGCTGTTTACCACAAACACAACATATATCCATTATTTTGATTTCAAATCCAAACATTGCCGCTGGAAATGCTTTTTCAGCATTGCAATTCTTTTTTTTACACAGTACAATAATACAATCTTTCACAGACATGTTTAAACTCAATAAATATAAGCAACGCATTATTCAATGCTTTGACTTTTGCATTTACTTCTAGATTTATATATTAAGTTGCTCAAGCAAGTAAAGTACTTTTCTTATGTTATCACAAACGTACCATTGACAGAAATAGTCAGCTCTACTGCCTTTCCTTTTTTATTTAAATCTTTATTACAAGAAATCCTGCGGTTCATAAAGAACTTTGTTTTTCTACCTCCACGAGTGCCATCTATTATTGCCTTCTTTATCTAAAAGTGCTCTTTCCCTTTAAACCTAGCCAAAAAGCCATACGTGTTGACTGTGAAACACAGTAGACTTTAATAATATGCATTTATGGTGTAATTGCAAAATTTTCGTGTCAATCCATGTTCATATTTACGGCAAACAATGCGCTGTTACTTTAATTCAGCACTTGCAGCGTAGCAATAGACTCGGTGTGGAAGCGATCTCTGCACTGCTGCAGACGCGCTGTCGGACCGCAACCGTGTGCAGTGAACGCTTTAATCTGGTAACATGAGCGCGGAAAAAATACACACCACATATGCACTGCAAACTGCTTAATGTGAACCTGGCGTTATGCTTGTGCGCTGCGAGTGTGCATGGGTGCACGGTCTCCAGGAGAGCACACGAGCGCTGAACGGTTAAACACTGGCAAGAATTAAAAAGTAAACTTTAAACTTCAGTGACGATGTGACACTGCCTCGATTGTGCAAGTGACAATTCCTGTGTCAACTGTGCAGCTCGCTTATAGACAGACGCGATGTGAAGCTTCAAACTTAAAATCAGCAGGCTTTTATTTTGGCGGGTTGCCGGCAAGTAAGTACATGCACTTCCGGGTTTAGCGCCGCCGACTGAAGCGCATCAGTGAATGAAATGTCACAGTTTTGCATTGTGCTTTGAAAACGGCAGCGGGTAGCCTATATTTATTTATCTATTCAGTTTGAATAGAAATCTTATACAGTATTACAGTTTGTCGATCTAAAATGGTAATTGTGCATTAACAGCTGTCAACCATGTCGGTACGCAAATGCGCTGTCAGAACTTATTTACACGGCGCATTTTTTTATTTTGGTTGCGCATGCGCACCACTTATTTGCACCCCTGACTATAGAACATACTTCATAGACCGTAGACAAGTTAATCAAATTCAGTTCGTGTACACGCGCTGTATTACTGCCGGAAATAAATTCTGCAGGACAGCTGATCTGGACTGAGCCCTCTGCTCTAAAATTTCAGGCTTCAAAAGTCCAAGTAACTTGTGATGACGTGTGTAACCGGTACAGATCCATACTCCAATAACACCAGATACCTAGAAAGCTGACACCAAATATTATCCCCATGCCCTGTTACATAAACAACATTTGCAGGGACACTGGGGCTAAAATTAGGGGTGCTCCGATCAGGATTTTTGAGGCCGATCACAGAAAGCAGTATCTGCCGATACCGATCTTTTGAAAGTCTTCTTTTTATCATTTATAACTATATATAATGATACTCCAATCAGGATTTTTAGACATTTATTCAGGGCCTGAATTTCATTTTTGAAAATGGGGGGGATTTCCCCTCTTAGGTGACTCTTGTGAGAGGAGAAGCAGCTTTCACACAGGAGTCCGCTACTGATCCGTTGCTGTTTACCACAAACACAACATATATCCATTATTTTGATTTCAAATCCAAACATTGCCGCTGGAAATGCTTTTTCAGCATTGCAATTCTTTTTTTTACACAGTACAATAATACAATCTTTCACAGACATGTTTAAACACAATAAATATAAGCAACGCATTATTCAATGCTTTTACTTTTGCATTTACTTCTAGATTTATATATTAAGTTGCTCAAGCAAGTAAAGTACTTTTCTTATGTTATCACAAACGTACCATTGACAGAAATAGTCAGCTCTACTGCCTTTCCTTTTTTATTTAAATCTTTATTACAAGAAATCCTGCGGTTCATAAAGAACTTTGTTTTTCTACCTCCACGAGTGCCATCTATTATTGCCTTCTTTATCTAAAAGTGCTCTTTCCCTTTAAACCTAGCCAAAAAGCCATACGTGTTGACTGTGAAACACAGTAGACTTTAATAATATGCATTTATGGTGTAATTGCAAAATTTTCGTGTCAATCCATGTTCATATTTACGGCAAACAATGCGCTGTTACTTTAATTCAGCACTTGCAGCGTAGCAATAGACTCGGTGTGGAAGCGATCTCTGCACTGCTGCAGACACGCTGTCGGACCGCAACCGTGTGCAGTGAACGCTTTAATCTGGTAACATGAGCGCGGAAAAAATACACACCACATATGCACTGCAAACTGATTAATGTGAACCTGGCGTTATGCTTGTGCGCTGCGAGTGTGCATGGGTGCACGGTCTCCAGGAGAGCACACGAGCGCTGAACGGTTAAACACTGGCAAGAATTAAAAAGTAAACTTTAAACTATAAACTTTAGTGACACTGCCTCGATTGCGCAAGTGACAATTCCTGTCAACTGTGCAGCTCGCTTATAGACAGACGCGATGTGAAGCCATTTGCGTATTTTGAGAGAGAAAGAGAGAGAGCGCGCGGTGATTCACTCATGCTGTTTGTGAAGTTACGTCTCACACAAGTTTTTCAAATTACATTAAAAGTTATTTAATGAAGAAATATAGCATTATAATTATTTCACCCGTGCCAGACAGAGACTGAGCCGCTGCATGTAATGCCAAACCTCTCACGGCAGCGTCATCAGCTTGAGATCCGTTTTTTGAGATCGGCCTTTTTAGAGACCGCGATCAATCATCCCAACGTGATTATCGGCCGATAGTGATCGGTAGCCGATCAATCATAGCACCCCTAGCTAAAATAATCATGGGCCTCAATAAAAATGAAAAAAATAGGAACAGATCATGCACCATATCCAACTTGGTTGGGAACATACCCAATAATACGTCTTTCAGAGTACTCCTTTCTCTTGTTAAAGGACTCAGAGAAGTTGAAGAAGCTCCTGGCTGGAGCCACCACAGCACGACCCGACACAGTCCTGAAGAGGGGCGGCACCCGGGTCATCAGAATCCCACATGAAGACAGATATCTGTTGACAAAACAGGGTGAAAGTATGTCATTCAGCAACAGCATAGACACTGTATGAGACTTTGTGTACTTGTAATGATTTAGGCCCTATTTGCTTGTTGGATGTCTTAAGATAGCAGACGTCTCCTATGAGTCAGATAAGGGCAGAGAGAACCCATGAACCACACAGATAGCTGTGTGCAATTAACAAGATTAGGACTCTTAAATCAAGACAAAGCCTTTTATCCAGAGGATTATTGAAAATTACACTTTGGCCTTAATCTAAAGCCAATAACATGTCTTTTCAGACTAAAAATAAAGAATAGACTACTGGAAAATTGACAAGTTTCGTCCTTTGTGGGCCACACACAAACATATAGTGCAATCACTCCATTTATTGAGGCAGTTCAGTGAGACTCTTCCATTGAATCTTTCACTGAATCACTCAACACTCACTGAACTGCTGAAAAGTTACCATGACTTTCAGTGATATTTGCCTCAACTTGAAGCAAGTTTTGTGTAATTAAGTTTGTGTTGGTGAAACTTAAAACAGAATCTTAATGACTGGTTGTTCATATGTTAATAAACTAAAATTAAATTAAAAAAATAATAATAAATTGATATAAAATGTAATTCTATAAAAACACAACAATATGCACATCCTCTACCAAACTTGAGGCATCCCTAACATACAACTGAACAATCTGTTCATAAATTATATTATAATTCTTATGAGACACTCAACTGAAGATTTGAGTTGGCTAATGACGGCTGTCAACAACAGCTGAGTTAACAGAAACCTAAACTCTAAAATACAAACAGAATGTGATAACAAGAATGTGTTGCCTAGACATAGTTGCATGGAATTTACATACAATACTCTAAATGACACCTTTGTGCAAACTGTACATGCATAATAGTGTGTACAAATGTAGGATTTAAGGGTTTTCTGTATTGTCTTTTTTGCTATGCTCTGGCTAATTTAATTTACAAAGGCTCTGAGTGACAAGCTTTTGAAATGCTGAAGAGGAGCTTAAAAAAGCCAACTGTGATGCAACCGCCCATACAAATTAGACCACACAACAAGCAACCCACAATACCAGCTGTTGTGCATTGGAACATGTACTTCATTTAAACAGTTCATCATTAACTACAAAACTTTATGAAGCAGTGCATTCATGCGGCAGGACCAGGGTTAAAGGAAATATAGGATAGGCATCCCATGACATGTTCACCTGCCCTCCATTTGTCAAGACACAAATCATAAGTAGAGCGTAATCACTGACCACCACAACCAAGTCAAGGGCAGTAGTAACACCCCATCCCGTTAAATGTGTCTGATGCGTGTCAGATCAATCACACACACATATCTGAAAAGCAAAGGGGATGAGGCCTTGCTCTATAAATGGCACAATATCTCCTCAATGGAAAGAGTGGCAGCCAAATTAATTCATGTCGGCACTAGAGCTGCCAAGAGCTGTCAAGAACGGCATAACTGTGACAGCCGATGGTGACAGAACAGTCACCATCAGACACTTGACATGGCCTTATGCCAAGCAGTTATAGCATTTGGCTGCCCAGCACTTGGTTGGGGTACACCATGTCCCTAGCCACAGGCGACGAACGTCACAGCTCGGCTTGTGACGTCACATATGCTGCAGACTCCCGTAAATGCATACCTGCAAAGATGTTTGGAAAGAACTGCAAATTAAATAATTTGTACTATGCACACTATATATGTACATGATGGGTGCCAAAATTTTCTTTTGCATTTCCCTAATAAAAATCATTTGATTGAATTTGATCTGCAGCTATCTTAAATAAATGAATAATTCTGAATAAACACCAGCTGTATGCAGTTGAAGACCAGCTTTTCCAAAAAACAAAACCCCCAAAAAGTCCTACCATTTTGTTATTTCCCCTTAAAAAGCATTTGGTTGCATCGGAGTTTAAAGCGACTTTAAATAAATAAATAACATAAATCTGAAGAAAAAAAAACACCAGCTGTACGCAGCTGATGAAAGTTATAAAAAAAATAAGAAAAGCCTTTAACAGATACACCTGGTCCATTACATAATATCGTAACCTTGCCACTGTCACTTATTAGGCTATCTGGCAACCAGTTATGTGACTCCCTCCCACCCCCTCCTAAAGTTAGTTTTTAAAAAAAAAACATTTATTTGAGCACGTCATACTTTTAATATATTGTTGGACGATAATTAAAGGCTTTATTGACACAAAGTTGTCCTGTTGGCCTTAAATTCGCTACACTTGTAAGAGCGAAACTAACCGTCCAACTATCGAAAGCAGCTCGCGAGTTACTTCACTTAATCACTTCGATCTTCACATGAGCGCACATAGACAATGCGAAACATTAAACCGTCGTTAATTACCTCACTCCATTCCTGCCCGGTGTTTCTCGACTGGCTGTGGACGGTAAGTTTCTGATACACTCCGCTACCGCTCTTCTCAAACACCGGGAGCCTCTCGCCATCTTCACTTCTCCTCGCTTTGCCTCCCCCCGTCGAGAACTCTTTTCCCGTCTCGAAGACCAGCCTTCTCAGAGACCCGCCCTAGAATCTCATTGGCTGAGGTTGCTTTTCTTGGTCTCTGATTGGTCCATTCTTCCGTCCGTCACGTAGTTAGCCCATTGACGTAAGTGTTTTAATTGTGAAGAGGGTTGCGTGCGCAGAATTGTCACGGGATGCAAGATTGGGTTGCCCAGGCTGCGCGACCTACAGTGCATAGTTAGTAAAGGTTACAGCTAAATTTGTTTGAGGACACAATGTAAAAGGATTAATAAGTTTGGAAAAGATCAAATACGCTGAAAAAATTGGTTTGGAGGAAATACCTTATTTAGTTGTAAATGCATATGTCTGCCCCTTATATATTGTTGTGATTTAAAAAAAATAAAAGAACAAATGCCAGCAAACCAAGTAATGTTGCTGTTAGACCTGAAGAAAACAGTAACTCTCTTTTAACAATATATAAGGGGCAGACATATGCATTTAAAACTACTTAAAACGACCCCCACCATGGGTCCACTATGGCAAACAGCGAATATATCGTGCTGTTTAATGCATTTGAGACGTGTTTTCCTCAGTGCATAACTGACAGTTATATTCCTCATCTGTAAATGTTAGAAAGTCATTTTGCTGTCAGGAGTGGGCGAGGCGCGAGTGAATGCGCACTAAACAGATGGAGCGCAATCGAATAGGAGCGCAATAATTCTAGGTAAAATATACATTTCGCTAAAATATTTTTTGTTGGACATTAAATGTGACACATGTGGAATTTTAATCCTACATATAAGTGTATTTTTATGATAGCAGTGTCTGTAATTCAAATGTAAGCTGGCTAATACAGCCCTAATTAAATAGCTGAAATGAGTTCATGTGTATTCCTCTTATCAGTTCAAATGTAGTCTGTTTTCTATTTTTTTAATTTCATTTTTAATTGTGTTTAATTGATGGTATTGACATCTAGACATTACCTCTGTCAAGCTCCTGAAGTTCGCAGACGACACTACAGTCATCGGCCTCATCAAGGATGGAGATGGGTCTGCTTACAGACAGGAGGTTAAAGAGCTGGCTGTCCTGTGCAGTCTTAACAACCTGGAGCTTAACACGCTCAAAACTGTGGAGATGATCGTGGACTTCAGGAGAAAACCCCCTGCACTCCCCCCACTCACCATCATGGACAGCACTGTGACTGCAGTGGAGTCATTCAGGTTCCTGGGCACCACAATCTCTCAGGACCTGAAGTGGGACACTCACATAGACTCCATTGCAAAAAAGGCCCAGCAGAGGTTGTACTTCCTTCGCCAGCTGAGGAAATTCAACCTGCCACAGGAGCTGCTTAAACAGTTCT